CACACACACACACACACACACACACACACACACACACACACACACACACACACACAGTATGAACAAAATTATCCATTTTATGATGCTAAGAAAGTAATTTATTTCTGTTGGTTTGCTGGATAAGTAGTCTCGTGGTTACTTAAGAGAGACTGAAGCAAATGCACTTAATATGAAAATATAGAAAATTGACACATGAATGTCTGAATTTTACAGTTTTTTGTCTATCTTCGTGGCTCTGTCAGTGCTTTTAAAAGCTATTCTGAGCAAGGCTTAAGCTAAAAATATTGATTTTGGCATTAAAGGGGTAAAAACACTAATGCTTTTGTGTATTTTCCATGAGGGTTTTATTTTTTGTGACTTAAATTATCCTTTTCTTAAATCAACTGACCTCAGACTTTGGACTAGCATTCTTTTATAAGGCATGAGATTGGTTTGTTTGGAAAATATTTACATTTTTACTTAGTACAACTTTGACCATTTATTTACCTATAATTTTTACAATTTCTGTTTGAGATTCAAGTTTTTGCCAATACTAGGAAAAAAAAAACAAAACCTATCAGTTCTAGTTTTTATGAGGTAAACCACACTATCCATATCTGCTAGATTGGGGTAATAGTCAGCTTTTTTCAGTAAATTTCTTTTGTTTTTGTGTTATCTTGATATAGTTTAGTTCTCATTTATAGTACAAAGTGATTGAATAAAGAGTAAATTAAATTGTGAAGTAATTTACTGATATTCATGCATCATGTATATGATAGTTTTTTTCTTCAATAAATTGGTTTTTGTTTTTGTATTATTTTGATATAGTTTAGCTCTCATTTATTGTAGCAAGTAATTGAATAAAGAGTAAATTAAATCATAAAGTTATTGAAACTCATAATTTTGCATCATGTATGTGAATTACTATATAACCTTTGTTTTAGCCTTGATATTACCATGTTTATTAAAAATTAGTTTCATACCACTGTGAAGAAAGAGTATTCCACTTCAAACTTCATAAAATTTACTAGTGTCGGATAAAAAATGAATATTAAAACATGTCCTTTTTATATTTGAAAATAAGCCTGGAACTCAGAGTTAATGTATAAAAAATGAAATTAAGGATATATATCAATATATATTTGTTTTTAGGAGGTTGAAGGTTATGAGTTCAGGAATGGAAAAAGAAGAAGTTGGGATGATGAATTTGTTTTAAAACGCCAATTCTCAGCTTTAATTCCAGCATTTGACCCTCGTCCTGGTCGCACAAATATTAACCAAACAACTGATCTTGAAATTCCCCCACCTGGTGAGTTTATGATATAACAACAATTCCTTTGGTTTTTGAAATTTACCATGGGTGTTAGTGATTTAGCATTTGATGTATTTGGATTTGTTAGTTTCTTTTCTCAAGTTAAATTTTCAATAACAAAAGAAATGTGTTAATTGTTTTTGTAACATTTGTATATAAATTATTCAGGATATGGAAATGTTTTCTCTAGTGGTTTCTTATTATTAAAAAATATAGTTTTATGCAGTTTAGTCTTAGTTTTTGGTTGTGTATGTTAAAGAATGCTCTTCTAAGTTCTTATTTTGTGATGAAATATTTAGGGTTTCTTTCAGAGTAAAGAAAAAGTGTTAACTACACATAAATGATAAAACTTTGTACTTGACTACTTAATTTTAATTTAATTGTTCTTTAACATCTTAGAGTTCCAAAAACATATTTATTTGGTAGAGGATTCTCTTGACATGGAAAGTTAAATCACATGCTGCATAAAATAAAGGATAATAGAAAGTTTTATTATTATATTTGTATGTTAGTCATATGGCCTAAAATTAAATGGTTGATATATAATGTATTCCAACAGTTGCTATTCTGAAGTGAATCACAAAGTTTAAAATGTTCATTTTGCACATTACACAAGCTATATATTGTATGTGCAGGTGATATGAACATCATACTGTAAAATGTCTTTATAGTACTACTGCCATGATAAGAGTTAAGGTGAATTTTTTTACTGTTTGTACAGAATTCTTAGTATTGCTCTTTTTATACATTTTAACTTTTGAAACATTTTTCATATGTAATAAAAACTTCATGAGGGATTTATGTTGATAATTAAAAAATGATACTAAATTGTATAATTTTTTTTTCTTCAGGTGTGGAAGAAAGACGAAATGAAGACTTGAAAGAAATGTCGCCACAGCCATATTTAACCCTCACGTTAAAAGGTCCTAACCTTCCTGGGGTAGGTAGCTTGTTTTTTACAGAAAGAAACTGACAAAAAGAACTTGGTTAGACTGAGACATTAGAGCTATCATAAGTATGAATACTCATAATGATAAAATATATTTGTTAAAACTCACAACTTCAGTTGACCAGTCTCATTAGTAAGATATCCTGTACTGTCATACTGAATCAAAGAATAAGAAAACTATCAGCTGTGAAATTTATTTCATTTTTTAAAGTTCTTATTGGGTAGTATTTTTTGTTTAAAAATCTTTTTTAGTAAAACCTGTACTTGCAGTGAACGATTTATGCTTTTAGTTGTTGGATTAATTATGTTGTCCTGGAACTTTTTAATTTATTTACTATTTTTTGATGTATCATTGTTTGAAGGTAATGCATCATGAACCACTCACTTCTTTCCCTAGTCCTTTTTTGAGGTTGGCACATAGTGATTAATAGGGTATAAAGAAAGCCTTTTTCTGTCAAGAAGCCTGGCAGAAGATTTTATGCCAATCAGCCTTCCTTATAATTGGTAACAAGGTATCTCCGTGTTGTTTCTACTGTCAAGTAATGGAGGATGGTGAAGCATCTTCTCTGCTTGGGTGAAGTATCTTCTCTGCTTGATGATCTGTCAACCTATCCAATATATCTGGCACTTTTTGATGTGGCATATTAAAGTAGGATAGGCTTGCTTAACAGGAAATTCAACAATATATTTATTACAAAGTAGTACTGAATAACAAATTATGAGAAAGAAAGAGACTGGACACAAAGTACTACAGAAAATTGAGCAGTCTTTATTCAAATCAGAGCAAAGGGTCACTTTTTATCACTTTTCCATCAGCTCTGAGCAACCTCAGTAGTATAACTCTTGCATTTTGGTGACTCACCACTTCCCCAAAGTTTACCTACTTTGTCATTTGGTGCTTGCTGTCTCATTTACCAGTGAGATAGCTCCTGTTGACAGAGGAGATCCACTAATGGCACCTCCATTCTCTTCTTGCTGGTTTTTTTTTTTTTTACCAGTGTTGGAATTTTGTTACTCTGACTGACAATGGTCTGGGAGTACTTCACAGACCACCTTGTCTGGTCTCAAACTTGCCAGATGCAACACCGCAGTTATGATCTTCAGTCTTCCTTGCTTCCTTTGCTCTGAGGTCAATTCTCAAAGGAAGAGTATGGAAAGCTATTCTGGGTGCACCAGACATTGGGGGTTGTAATGAAATAGAAATCATTGACCTTCACAGTATTGATGAAAGTCCTAAGTCCAGGAAAGTCTCTCAGTTTACCACCTCCTTACAGTAACTGGCTCTTTCTCTTGGTTGTTAATCCTTGTCAAAAATGCCATTTCCATAACTTAAATCATACAAGAGTAGTTTTGTACTTATAATTACATTTCAACTCAGACTAACTCATGTTATTAAAATTAAGCACTAGATCTATAAGTAACACTGTATTTATGCCTATATCGTAACACATGGTAACACTGTAAGTAACAAAAAATGAAATTAAAACTAACTCTTTACTTGAAATCCTTACTTACAACTTGTACTGAACCTACAAAGTTGGTAAATCTGCAGTGAACTTAAACTAAACACATTACACATTTTTACATATATTTAGTGCTGGGCATGTTATTAAAAGAATACGAGCTCACTGCTTGCTCTTTGTTTCTTCAGAAAAAAAATATATTATGTCCTTACATGTTAGTTGATGTTAAAAAAAAAGGAAAAACAATATATTACTCTTTTAGTTTTACTTGTTATATTTCTTTCTTTTATCTTGTCCTACAAAATAAATGTTGTGGCTGTTCCACACATCTGGAAATTAATTGTTAAATTAATTTGTTGGATGAAGTTGCATTGAGGATATTTTGTAACACGATTATATCTAGATTTATAATAAAGTATTAAAGTCATTTCTTTGAGGATACCTTTTTTTTAGATTCCAGAAAGAGAAGTGGAATTAGCTAATCCTGAATGGACCATATTCCGTGCTGTTCAACATTTAATGCAGTCATCTGAGTTTGGAAGCAAGCAGGACAAGATTCGTCGTGTTTGGGAACCAACATACATGTGAGTTTACACATTTATATAAGTAGTTTCAAATATACCAGCAAATTAACTGGAGTTTTTCACACTTAAGAGTCAATGGAAAAAACACAAAATAGAATTGGTTTTCTAAAACCATGTTTTGTGTTCAGGCTATATTACCACTTTTGAGATTGTCTTTCTAAACATTTTTATCCATGCTCAAGCTTCATGTGTTGATAAGTCTGTGTTATTTACCTTATCAAGTGAAATTCTTGTATTTGCAATTTCACTAGAGATTTTATCTGTCAATTATGTATAGATTTTGTGTAGCACAGTTTATAAAGTAATTTATTTTAATAAATATTGACTTTGTAATTTAAATTTGTGCCTAAAAAGATGTAACTGTAAAGGATAATCACTGTTTTTTGTTCTGAATTTTATTCTGTTACAAAACGTGATACATATATCCTTAGGCTTTAAAGTCTGATTGGAAGAAAAATGTATGTATATTTATCAATATTGTGCTTAGTTTAAATATTACAGTCATGATTTTGAAGTTAATTTGGGTTTATGGAAATGATTTTCACCAGAAGAACTCACAAAAACTGTATTGAAATTATGAAATTAAGTTAGAGATAAACTAGTTTACCCAGCTTGTTTTCCATCCAAAATTCAGTTTTAAAGAATGAGAAATATATTTGTTGGATTGGTAGTAATAGAACAGGCACAGATATTTGTTATAGATACAGTGAAATCCTCAAGTTTGTGCAATTTTAAATGCTGATTACCCATAGTACTATATATTCGGAGTGTTTCTTTTGAAGAGAGGTTTAATGTTTTGTACACTAAAGAGGGAAATAGTTTTAACAAAACAATTAAATTTTAGAAAATTTTCTAAGACTAGTGTGTCCAGAAACTACCTTTTATTTCAAAACACATTTGGCTTACCAACAATAATAAATGTTGTCAAGTTGATAGGTGCACAACAAAAGCTTATAAATGTCATTATCAAATAAAAATGTTCTCCACTTCTTATACATTCAGCTAGTAGCAAGATTGTACTTCTTGCCACATGTACAGTAGTGTAGTTAGTGTTACTGTCAGGCCTTAAATGAACGTCTAGTAGCAAGGTGATACATTTTTCCACATGTACTGCTGTTTAGTTAGTGTTATGTGTACATTCAGAAAAGTGTTTTTACTTCACATAGGTGGATTTAGTTTAATTTCATCTCATTTCTCAGCATAATAGAATAATTATCTATTGAGACTTGACTTTCAGCTATTTATGGTGCATTATTTATCACATTTAACGGAAGTAAAAGCAGTAAACGCAAAAATTTTCCAGTTACTCATTCAAGTGATATTGGTTTATTTAATACTTATAAACATATGTAAAAATAATTATCTATTGCTCCTAAATTTAAAATATGTGATCTAGAAAGAAACTGCTGATTAAGTTGTTAACATAGGAACGTGAAAATGCTTATTGCATACAATCATTTTTATAAGATATATGTATTGTGGTGATGTTTTTTTTTATTATATGTGATGAGGTTTAAATCTGACCAAGTAAGCAATAAAGAAGAGACAAATTTAGGCTGGCTGAAAGATTTAGTGTATGATGGGATGAATAAAAGAAACAGATTTGTGTTATCATTATCCAATATATGGAGTCTATTCTTAAAGCAGCTGTATGTAACTGGGATTGTAACACCACTCTTGCAATTTACCAAATCAGTATGATAAAACTCAAAAGACTGTTTGAGACATTATGATGTCTGTTTGCCCATATTAGTTGGTTTATGAGAAATGAAATTATTTCTCTGAACACTTATGGAGATATTATAAACAACACTTGGGTTACACAGAGTTTTGGTCAAGTAAAAGTGACTAAAGAAACACTAACTTACAAACATCTTGTTGGGTCTGAAATACATAAAGGTAATATGAATATAATTTAAAGATGGATAATAATTGGTTTGTAAATATAGTACTTTTTCCAAGTGTACTGAGATTTGCCTCATCTTGAAGTTTGGTTTTACTAAACTTAAGAAATTGTTTGACTGATTTATTAGTATTTCATTTCATATAGAACCATTTCATTTTCAAAGAAAGAGAAACTAAATTTTATGAAGAAGATTATTTTAGTTTCCTTGTGTTTTATTGTTATCTTGAACAGCAATACAGCCGTACCTAATACACACTTGTTCTGCTAGTTCTTCATATGCATTGTTAGTTTTTTCATCATATTGATTGCAACTTGACTCTAAATATGGGGAAACTAACTAATATTGCAATCATACTTTGCACCAACAAATATAAAGATTGCTTTTTTTTTCCATCTAACATTTTCATTAAACTAGGTAATGTTCATTGCAAGTATAAAGTAAAAATTCTCTAATAGTAAACACAATAGTCAATTTCAGTACTGTGTATTTGTAATACCGAAATTTTTTTAAATAAGGCTGGTTTGCATCCTTTATTTAAAAGTATACCATATCATATGAAATTCTGTTAACTCAAAAGCTCAAGAATATGGAAAAAAATCAAACTTTATAGTAGGCTTTTTCATGAAGCTCTTTTATTTTCATTTAATCATGCTTCATTCAAGGTATAAGTCTTAAAAAAAAACATAATTTAATGTAACAAAAAGTGTTGTGAAAAAACATATTTTTTCACTGTGATGTTTTTTCTCTTAGAATTGTTTATCGCCAAGCAACCACTGATGAAAATAAAGTTAATAAGGTATGTATTTCCTTGTTTCCTTAGTATCAGCATTCCAACTCATAATATCTTGAAGGGTATCATTTATTTAAAGTGATTTTGTTCCATGGTTCACCTGTACTGTAAAGTAGCTGCATTGTACATTTTGCTGAAATTATATGCCAATACTTATGATAGAAGATTAAACAGATTAATATAAATGTTGATTGTAGTGCTACATCTATAAATTTAGTATATCATTGAAACCAGTTGATTAACCTTATGACTACCATGTCATACACTCTCTATGACTTAATGTTGCTATCATTATATTTCGTGTCAAATATAAAACTATGGATGAAATTTGACAAGAACCATCCTAAAACGTATGTAGTTTCAGAAAAAATATTTAATTTTGATTTTTTCTACTATTTCTAATAATTTGTTATTTAATGTAGTTATCTGCACACAGATTCTGAACAGTTCACCTGCAAGGTGATTTTCATTTTGAATATAAAAATACTATTTATTATGTTACAGTTTTCACAATTCATTGTTATAATCTCTAAAACCTCCTAAATGGATATCAAGTTTTTGTTAAGGTAAATATTTGTATTTTATTTTCCATGTTCTCTACTATATCACTAACTCTAGCTATTATCATCAACATACAATGCAATGAAATGTTTAAAATTAAGAAAGAAAATATACTTACCATCATAGAATAGCCTTAAAATATCTTCTTTGGGTTGTGTGCATAATTTCACATCTTTACCTTTTCACTAATTGCTTAATTTTAATGCTTTATTTTCCTTTCGTGTTCTTTATCATTGATTATTTATGTCAACACATGGCATTGGGTACCAGTGGGTGATAGAATGGTATGAACGGCAGAGATACTTTAGACTCCGGCAAAATCTTTTTATACTGCCTGGTAGTGTATTTTATAAAAATTATTAAACATTTCAAATATGAATTTTAAAATACAAATATAACATAATTAACTAAAATATAAAAGTAAAACCTAAATGCAATTTAACTGTGAATCAAACTAATATGTATAAGGTGATAAAAAAAAAAATAGTCAAGTGCTAGATACACGGATCTTGAAAATGAATATGTGGCAATTAGCTTGTTGTTTCAAGAATAATTTATGGCCTACGTTTCCCTTTAGCCTGGAGAAATTAAGCGAGAAGTCTGCTCTTTCTCTTGGTTATAAACATGCCATTCAAGTCTAGAAATGACTGTTGCTTGGCAACTGATTACTTTGGAATCTTGGGGTGGCATTTACCAGATAAGAGCAAATGATAATATAGTTTTTGGAATGATGCCTCTGTAAAATGAATGTAATGTTTAGACTTAATCTAGTATTTGTAAAAGCTTGTCTAGACTGTCATAGAGGTACTAAGACAAATCTGAACAGAAACATAAGCAACCAAATCTAAGATATTTCAGCTACACATACATCACATGACAACTACTGATGTTTTAATTGTTTGTTTCAGAGGTTTCTTTTGAAATAAAGGACTAATAACTTGGATAATATAAAACTTTGAACTATAGAGCACTTGATAATGTTAAGTTCATTAAACTAAATTGATAATAAAGTGCTTTAATTGAATTTTGAATTCAACTTAGTAACATTGTGACATGTGCAGAAAGGAATTTAAAGAGTGCACTGGTAGCTATAGGGTTAAGATGTTGTTAAAAGTTTGCTTTTAATGCTGTATTATCCTGGTTAGTACCATTGCATATAGTTGTTACTTGGACTGTTCATGCAAATACATCAAAAGTGTATCTGGCACATTAATTACTATATTAATCTTTTCATGACTAGTACACTGAATTCTTGCTATGTGAAAATATTCAGGCTTCTTGCCTGAAGCATTATACTTTCTGAAATTCTCAGAAGTGTAGAAATCTCTGAAAAGATATTCAAGCTTATTTTTACGAAAAGAGTGAAACCAATCAATTTATTACTAGCCTCTTCATAGGCCAGGACTAACCTTGTCACAGCACTCAATGAATTTTAAGTTCTTAAATTTAAAATGGTGCTAAGCCATCTTTGTGGAGAGCAGTTAAATGTTGGCTTAAATCTGCTCTGTTTATTAAGTTCTTCAGTGGTAAAAAAAAATTATATATATTTACATGCACACACACACACGTATACATACATAAATATATTTCAATAATGGTATAGTTAATGGAAGTTTTTAATTTTGATAAAATATGTATGTGTGTGTGTGTGTGTGTGCATGGTTTTGATAAAATATGTACACAATAATTATTAAATGGGAAGAAAAGCTAAATTGAATATATGTTTGACACCATGTTGCATTATGTGGTATTGGTGAACAATATCCTGAACCACAGAAATATCTGTGGCCAAAGACTAAGTTAATTAACACTATGGCTTCAGGCTACTTTCTCAATGAGAAGGTAACGTTGTTCTCATCATATTTTGTTACAAAAATAAAACTAGTGGGTGAAATTATTTAAAATCTAGTTTCAGAAAAATAAAATATTTAATTTTTAATTTGTTTCACTATTTCTAATAAAAATTTATTTTATTTAGTTATTTGCACTTGAACTCTCAATAGTTCACCTGCAAGGTGAATTTATATGAAATATAAAAATACTATTTTTAATCTTACAGTTTTTACATTTCATTTGAATGATCTCTAGAACCTCGTAAATGAATATCGCCCCCCAGTAGCACAGCGGTATGTCTGCGGACTTACAATGCTAGAAACCGGGTTTTGATACCCGTGGTGGGCAGAGCACAGATAGCCCATTGTGTAGCTTTGTGCTTAACTAGAAACATAAAAACAAATTATCTTTCACCTGTCATACATTTTCTTGGAATACCAAAGGTTTTAATCTTTCCTTTAAAGATGCTAATAAAATTTGACAGGTTATTTATGTATATTAAAAGGAAACGTAACAACTTTATAATAAATTATACCGAAATTAACCGCATACTTATTAACTTCAACATAAAAGAACAGTTTCTTTATTAATTTTAACAACAACGAAAAACTTTGATCAACTCTAACAAGTAAGATTATTTGTCAATTAAGTATGTTTTTTAGCAAAGCCACATCGAACTATCTCCTGTGTCCACCAAGGGGAATCGAATCCCTGATTATAGCATTATAAATCCGTAGACTTACCGCTGTTCCACTGGGGGACTTGTCAATCTTAACATAGCAAAAGAGCAATTTTATCATTTTTAACGAAACAAAACATTTATACTTAGTTATCGTATTTGTATCATAAAACAAATCTATCTTAGATCTAACGATAAGCTCATGTGACGGTATTAAACGTTTTACAACGTTATCTTTTTGTTGATTAACAGAACCTACAACTGCTTAGCTTTAAAAAAACTCACAACTTCAAAGTATTTTGTACTTACTTCTATCAAAATGAATCATTCTGGGATTGAACAATTTAAGAATAACATTAATAAGGATCAATCGAAAATTAAAGAAGATTTATATATATTATATTCTATGGCCCAATTTGAATACTAGTACAAAAATAAATCTATTATTATTAAATCTGAGACTGAGATTTTCTTTGTGCACATGTGTTGTCTTTGTCGCAGTTAATCGCAGTAAAATTGTTTTCTTTTTTTTTTATTTACACAATGTTCTACCTGTGTCCTTCGCGTATTCAAACCTGCATTTCATTGCTGTAAACCCTGAGCCAACGAGGGATTTGCTGTAAAACATCTTCTATAGACATATTAATAATAGCTTTCAGTCCAGAAGAGTCAGCACATTGTGTTTCGATAGTCTCTATTGAAATTAAAATCAAGTGACAAAAATTTTTAATCATTGAATTTGAACATTTGTTTTTGTTGTGTTTTTTGTTATTAGAGAAATGTGTACACAATTTTGTCTTAATTTAGTCTTCTTTTCTTTTTGGCCATTTTATTTAGTGTTTGTGTCCATTATGATCAACTATTAATTTTACAAAGCACATTGATGTAGATGTACTTATATATACAATGATGAATTGTTTTTTATTTGGTTATATTTGCATTTGTTTGTATTTAAGCGCAAGTGTAAACAATGGGCTATCTGCGCTTTCCCCACCACTTGTATCGTTTTAGTGTTATAATTCAGTGCAGGATTGCCAGATTTCGCTAAAAACAAGCCCAAACCAATCACTCGTTAAACAATCAATTTTAAGCAATGCAGTTTTGTTAGAAAGTCATAAGAACACACAATAGCAGCAAATATTAAAATGACTTTAAAAAAATCCCAAATCCACAAGAAAAACCGCGTACTTGGCAATACTAGCCCATAAACGTATCGTTGAGCCACCAGGTAAGGTTGTATTTTAAAACAAACAGTGGTTCAGTTACTAAAATATATAAATCTGAATTCGATATTAATTTCGATACTATGTGCTGATTTTAACACCTTCTAATTATACGCAAATCACAAACAGCAGTTTACTTTAACCAGCTTATTTTATATGTCTAACTATCTGTTTATCTAGTAGGACATAAGCAGCACGGCAGTTTGAGGGTTAGTTGTGTGTAATGATTTCTTTAAATGAGCATTTTATTTCTAAGTTAGCCTTAAGAAATACGTTGAAAATTCAGTTTCAATATTATTTTTGTTTCAAATAATTATAATAATCTAGAGTAATTTGTTATTGCATCTCGAACATATTCCACTAATCGGTGGATCAGCGGAATGTCTGAGGGTTTATAACGCTAAAAATCAGGTTTCGATACTTTCTGGGAGAGCACATATAGCCCATTGTCTAGTTTTGTGTTTAACAGCAAATAAACAAACCAAGAACAGAAAAAAAAGAGGTCAAAACCATGGTTTTCATATCAACAATAAATACACATAACAACGCATTTCCTTAAAATAAACGCATTTGTTTGATTATTCAAGTTTTCAAATTTAAGAAACTTCATTTTAACAAGTAGTATTGTTTTGGTTATAAAATATTCCTACAAGTTGATATAAATGCCGGTGATTTTCGACAAGGTTGAAATTTTCCTAAGAAACTGCATT